TTTTGTCTTTCTGTTCCCTAAGCTCCAGGGGCCCTTCTTTGGCCTCTGTAACTTGTTTCCTGAGCTCATACAACCCAGCTGGCTCACTCACTTCTTCTACCTCGGTGACTTTCTAAAAATAAACCTTTGCTTGTATTTGCATCTTGGTTCTGAATGCTTCCTTAGCCACACTCAAGGACCGAGGTCTAATATTTGGTGCCATTCGCCTTTAACGCAGTAGCTCATGTCCTAAAAGGAGGTCATAGGTGGCAAGGCCACCGTGGCATTCGCACACACACTATGGGCACTGTCCACTCCGCTTTGAGCTTTCAGACCAAGATTTTCCAGCTGGAGGCTCCTAAGAGGAGCAATAATGACCTGTGGGTTGGGCTGCAGCAAAGGGAGGGACCGAACCTCCTTCAGCTTGAGTGCCCCAGCCCCAGCCTCCCTCCCCAGCTGACTGCAGCTCCAGGCGGGATGGACAGAGCATGTGCTGCGCCTCCCCTGCCAGGGAGCATCCCAGGGGAAGCCAGCAAGGGGATTTCCTGGCAGGGAGATGAAAAGATGATTTCAAGGTACAGCTCTGAGCAGGAATGACAACAGAGAACAGAAGAAAGCAGAGCAAGGTGGGGACAGGGAGGCCCAAGGACAGGAAATGCTGCAAAGGAGAGTCAGATGGGAACTGACAAGACAAGGGGGCGGGTGTGGAATGGCAAAGGCAGGCTTCTAGCTCTCCCCTCCCATCACTGCCTGATTCATTTCAGCCCCTCGTGTCTCCTTGAAGGTCCCGAGCACCCCACCAGCCTCCAGTTCCCAAACTCCAACCTCCCCCTTCTCTGCTGCTTCCTCCAGACCCCAGCCTGGTGGAGGCCACACTGATCCCACTCCTGGCCTCAGCGAGGTTGGCTCTCTGCCCCCAGCCTGCACTTGATCTGATTTGGCATGCATGTAAGCACCGGCTGCTGTGCCCGATTCAGGAATTTCCAAGACAAGAAGAATTAATTAGCTCTGTGGGCCACAGTCAGCATTTCCCACACCTGGACCAGGGCTAAGACAGTTTCAGTGTTCCCTGGCAGAATTCCCACCTGGGCATTCGCTGGAGCTGCCACCTCCTTCATCTACTTTGCTGTGCCCTCAGAGCAGGACACCAGCCCACAACTAAACTCACTTTGGAGAGTTAATTCCCCTCCTAGAAACCACTGTTTGGATTCGCTTAGCCCTGGTCACTGGCCTTAGGCAGGGATCCCTGGAGGCTTAGCACTCTGATGGCCCGGCTTCTCCAACCACAGACAAGCCCTTCATTGGGCCCCGTGAGCCTGTTTCCTCCTTTGGGGATGGAGTATGCAGAGCACCTGTCCATAGAGGGTGTCCATGTGTTGGTGTCCTCTCCCTGGCTTCATACCTCTGCAGAGGGGGCACTGGGTGGGGTGGCACCAGGTGTAGGTGGCTGGTGCTGCATCTGGTGTCTGATGCCCTCACTATACTGCTGTCGCCAGCCCTACAGGTCAGGCCGCTCAGCTAGCCCAGGAGAGCAGACAGGAGGCCATGGGGCACCAGGCTGTGGTGGGTGGGGACTACAGGTGATGATGGAGGTCTGAATGGGGTAGGGGGAGAGGACAAAAGAGACAAGGGGCTGGGAGGAAGGGGGTGATCCGGGGTGGGAGGGCAGCATTACGTCAGGGAAAGGTGGTTTCTGGGAAACTGGGTGATCGCAGAGCCAGCCTTGGCCAGCCCTTGCACAAGCACCCAGAGCTTAGGGACACCTTTTGCTATGGTCGAACCTCTCTCCGCATGCAAGGTGGAGGGCTGTGGCTGCTCCAAGCCTCCAGGTGTGCCAGGCTTGGAGGTCACATGTACATTTCTATGTACACAAGTGGTATCGCTTTGGAAAAGGCCACCCTGGCAAGGCACGTTGCACCATTCCCCATGCCCTCCACAAGGAGAAGAGGCCGGGGTAGTGTGAAGCCAATGGGCTGCAGGTTGGCCAGACCTCGCATGAAGTCTGCCACTTCCTGGCTGCGTGACCTCAGGCAAAGCACGGAACCTCTCTGAAGCCATAGCCTCATGGGGAAATGAGAGCAATGGTACATCCCTCGCCAGCGTGTTGTGAGGAGTAAGTGCGAGACTGCCGGTGAGTCTCAGGTTTGTTTTGGGCACCAGCTCAGCTCACCCCTCTTCCCAGTTCCCTACCCCCAGACAGACCTTTTCCTGGGGCCTGGGGGTAGAGGAAGCAGAAGCCGCCAAGCCTGAGGTGGGGGCCTCGCAGCTGTTGACACGATTTCTTCTGAACCCCCAGGGAGAGGGCGCAGAGCAGATGTGCCAGGATAGAAGGTCTTACCTCCCAAAGCCCCCACATCCCTGAAGTTCCTAGTCAGTTCCACCTCTGCCCCTGGAGGCACTAATTCAAGACCTGCTGCCTCCCCACCAGCCCCTCCCCACCCCCAGCCTCCTCACACCCCTCTGCTCCCTGCCCCGGTATCCTGGAGCCGAATAAAAAACCATCCACACAAGCAGCAGGAGGTGAGCATCATTGTTATTATTACTACTGCTCATAAGGGTCAGTAGTGCCATTATTTCCATTTCAAACTCACAACAGTTTCCATCATTGATAAAGACGTTACATTGTTAGGGGAGATGCCACAATTCCCTCCCCCAGATATCCACTTTGAGGCTGAGGGGCCCCGGGCCGGGATGGAGGGGACAGGGTGTCAGCTTAGCTCTCTGGCTTCATCTTGACCCAGAATCCTCCAACTATTAGAGGAAAGAAGGCCTCAGAACCCCCTCCCCACCCCCCACCCCCCAGCCTTACTAAGGAATAGACAGCTACAGGATTCTACAAAAATAGAAAAGCTTAATCTGCAAGCCTAGGTCACAAAACTCTAGGAATTTTGTACAGTTTGGCCAAAAAAAAAAAAAAAAGAAGGCAGCTTCTATGAGCACCCCCCCCCCCCCGCGCCCCTTCCCCACCCAAGGAGGACAGAGAAAATAGGTTTTGACATTATTGCAGGTTTTTGGATTAAACTCCAAGAGAATCAAACCAGGTGTTTGCTTTAAGGAGTGGTATTATTTCTGTCCAGGTTAGGAAACACCAGGTTGGAAAAAGCATCCAGGTTCATCGCCCAGCAGTCTGGCACCCACCCGCTGCCCCCCTGGTCCCAGGTTCAGACGGGGAGGAGCTGTGAGTGAGAGCTGCCAGCTGCTGTCGAAGTTTCAAGAATCCTGGAGTCTGAAGGTGCTGGGCATGTTGACGGGAGTGGGGCTGGGTGGCCAGCGGGGAACAGGCTGGTTGAGCGCCGCCTTTTGGCACCAGGGTTTCAGACCAGAAACTATTGCCCGCGGTAGCACCAGAAAGGAGGTTCTGGGCCATGTCAACAGCCCCGCCTCCTCTTCCCTTCTTCCTGCCCCTCCTTCCCCTCCCTCCCTCCTCTGCTTGCTCCCACTGGGCCGGCAGCAGCAGGCAGCACGAACACCTTGTGGGTATTCACTCATCAGCCCCAGGGGCCAGTTCCCCCCTCAGCAGCCTGGCTTCTCCACCTACCAGTTCCACTGGACACCTGGCCCTGGTCCCCTCGACTTGGGAGACAGCAGCCCTCTGTTTACATAGCTTAATCCATCGCCTGTCCCGATGGGCTGGTCCCCGCAGCGCGGGTCAGTGACTCCCGCAACTTGGGAGGCTGAAGCCAGACTGCTGAGGTTGCCCTGCGGAAGCCTGGGAGAGGCCAACCCAGCAGCACCGGCCCCTCCCCCACCAGCCCAGGGTGGGATCTCAGCAGCTGAAGCTGCCTCTCCCAGCCTCACTCGGCCCCATTAACCAAAACGGCTTCATTATGCCAATTTCCAGCTTTCAGTGCGAGGCTGATAGCTGTCAGCAGAAATAAGAGTTAATCTGGAATTACATTCAGAGCTGCCTGGCTCAGAGGAAGCAGCGATAACGTTTTGATAGAAGCCCGAGTGGATCCTGCCGGCCCAGCCTTCCGCCTTGCAGAGGGGTGGGCTTCTCCCCTCCTCCCCTGCCCGGGAGGGAGGTCAGGCCGGAGGCTGCAGCGCTCCAGGGAGAGGCGTTTGGGTTCTCTTTGCCTCAGACACGAACACATACACATATACTCACATATACACACACATCCACTCATATCCATTCACTCATATATATGCACTCACACACATCACTCATGGATACACACTCATACAGACACACACTCACACACATCCACTCACTCATATACACACACACTCACAATACACTCATACCACTTATACACACACACCCTCACATACACACTCATACACTTACACACTCATACACAATCATATATACACACTCATATACACTCACACATACACACTCATATACACTCACACATACACACACACTCATACACACTCATACACACACACAGCACACTCACACCACTTATACACACACCCTCACATACACACTCATACACAATCATATACACACTCATGCACGCACACGCGTGCACACACAGGCAGAGGCAGCTTTGGCCCCTTCCCTCCCCACCGCCCACGCCCCACCTCCAGGAACCTCTCCCCAGTGCCGGCCGGAAATGCCTAACTGTGCCTTGTGCTTTTACTCTGGACCGTGATTAGCTTTATTTTGGAAAATTACTTTATTATATAGATATAGATATATAGATATAGATATGTATGTATGTATATATAAAAAGGTTTCATTTCATTTGTAAAATCTTATATTTTTTTTCTTTTTCTCTCTCTCTTTTTTTTTTCCTACAGAAAATGATGACGAGGTTTAAGGAGAAAATAAGTTACATTACAGTTTCCAAAACGGTCCTCGCTCTCCGCGGAAGATGGGTCGCCGTCAGGGCTGTGATGCACTCGCCGTCCCAGCTTGTGCTTTGCAAGAAGAGGGAGTGTAACTAGACTGATGGTTTTAGGTTAAAATAGCCGAGGCAGGCGCCTTCGCCTCAAAAATATTCTGAGACACATAAAAGTGGAAGGAAACAAGTCTCCTCAGTCACAAAATGCCGTACATCCCGCATATACTAGATTCAATTAATTTAATAAAATAGAATATACATAGATTCTGCACAAACGTATTGCTTTCTCCCAACAGCTCCTGGTGTCGGGAACCTCAGCGACACTGGGCTTCTCTTCCTGCCTGGAGCCAGGGTGGGCAGGGCTGCTGCTCCCCACTCGCTGGGAATCCTGCAGTGGCCAGTGCCCAGTGCCACTGAGGCAGGGAGGGGCGCCTCTTGGGTGTCCACGTGGAACTTTTGTCAGGAATATAGCCCAAGAGGAGGAGCGAGGATTTGGCACCCAGTGGAGAAAGGTGAGTGGGAGAGGGGGGGCAGGACTCAGGGGTCCAGGTCTGCTGGGTCAGAGGATAAACCGGAGACACCCAGCATGTCTTTCTTTGGGGAGGGCGAGGCAGCCATGCTGTCAGGGGGGCCGGAGGCCGAGAGATCCTTGGAGTCGCTGGACGGAGCCCTCCTCCGGAGGCAGATGCCAGGGCTGGGCGGGGGCCGAGCGCCCTGGCCCTGGGGGGGGTCTATAGAGATACTGGGTGGACTGAGTTTTTTCTTGGGCCGGCTCCCAGGCCCCCCAAGAGGTTGCCCCCCGAGGCCCGAGGGGCCGGGGTCCAGGTGGGGTTGGGAGCCACTGTCCAGGCAGCTGACAGCAATGGAGTGCCTCCGCTGCTCCTCCAGCCAGGACGCCGGCCGGCGCCCGCAGCTCTGCGCCTCCACGCTGTAGCACTTCTTCAGGTCCCGCGGGGAAGGGGGCGCCTCCTGGCTGCCCGCCTGCAGGAGGTCTTCTGAAACCCAGCTCAGCTCCGTGTCCAGCTCTAAGCTGCTTCTGGCCTCCAGCGGGCTTTTGTCCCAGGTTGGTTCTGGTCCCGGGCAGGGGGCTGGCGAGTGCGTGTGCTTCAAGATCTTGCTCTGGCTGCGGGAGTGCTGCACCGGGGTGCTCGGCTGGCCCCAGAAGGAGGAGGTCCGGGCCAGAGGCGGGGAGGGCCCACTCACCTCTGACAGCAGGTCCTCCCTGCTGCCCAGGCCCTGAACGTCCAGGGAATCGGTCCTTATTGCTGCCTGTATGGGGTGGGGGGAGGGCTCAGCCTGGGGGCTTCCTCTCCCCCATTAGCTGTTCCTCCAGACAAGCCAGCGAGCCCCCTCCTCCCCGTCCAGGGAGCTGCAGGACCACCCTAACGGAGGGTCCAGTATTGGCTCTTGTGCAGAGATACGGGCCATGTGCATCGGGCCCTCTGGCCGCTGCCTTCCTCGGTGTCTCCCCCAAGCCTGCAATTCCCAGCCCCCAGGACACAAGGAGGCACTGGGCCAGCTCGGCTCTCCAGCCGGCTCCCTCATGCCTCCCTGCCTCTTTGGCCTTAAGCCCTCAACTCTATGGGCTCCGGTCCTCTGTGATGTACAGCCCGACAGTCTCGACCCTCCAATAAGACGGACCCCTTCCTCGTCTTTGCTCCCTGCTGCACTGGGCCCATGAGCATCTCGGCCCATGACCTGTCACCGCAGAGATCTGGTGGGGTGTATGTCTACGATCACACCCTGAGCTCTGGGGGGCAGGGGCTGTCTCATTTGTCCGTCTCCCCGGGGCCTGGCACACAGGGACTGCTCAGTGAATATTTACAGGATGGATGGGGACTGTACCTGTTCCCCCAGTGGGTGGGATTGAGCAGATTCTCACGTGGCCGTGCTCAGGCATAAGGACACACACCGCGTGGGCTGTGGGCTTGTTGCTGGTGAACACACAAGCCTCGCTGGTGAACACACAAGCTACATGAGCCTCTGCTCTGGGCCCCTGGAGTGTGGGCTCCAGAAGGTGGGCCCCAGGCTTGGCCAAAGATGGAGACACCTAAAATGTGCCTCGTGCCCGGCCAGTGCCGCTCAGTGGTTGAGCGTCGACCTATGAACCAGGAGGTCACAGTTCGATTCCCGGTCAGGGCACATGCCCTGGGTTGTGGGCTCCATCCCCAGTCGGGGGCGTGCAGGAGGCAGCCGATCAATGATTCTCTCTCATCATGGATGTTTCTATCTCTCTCTCCTTCTCCCTTCCTCTCTGAAATCAATAAAAACATATTTTTTTAAAAAAATGTGCCTTGTGCCCCTTAGCTAGGTCTAGAAATACAGAGAACAGGGAGGCAGCTGTGGGTCGGGAAAAGGGAGTCAGAGCCTGGCTCATCTCCAACTTGTCCTGCGTCCCTGGGCAACCTTGGCCTCCTCTGGGCTCCAGGCTTCCTCGGTGAAACAGGGGAGGAGGGCAAAGTCCGAGCAGTCACAGACCACCTCTGCTTGGTCTGGCTTTGTGTCCTGGCGCCTGGCCTGGCCTGTCACTGCCTCAGAGTCAGTGTTTGCTGGGAGAATGGAAGCGGCAACCCTGGTCATCACCAACAACCCGGGACTCCCGGCAGAGAGGCTAGCCCTCAGGCCCAGGCCCACCTCCACATCAGCTTACCTGGCGCCTAAGAGGCCTCTGAGCCAAAGGGGAGCGGCCTGGCGGGGGCAGTTTGGGGATGGTGCCCCACGTGGGGGCGCCGTGGGGCTGGAGCAGATGGGGAGCATCTTTGGGAAGCTGCAGGATGTAGCTGGTGTCTGCTGGCTGGGAGTGAACGGACAAGACAGAGCCTGCGGGGTGAGGGGGACAGGGGAAGGAGGAAAGAGAAGAGGTGAAGGGCCGGCCAGTCTGGCTCCCACCTGAGTCCCCTCCCTTCCTCTCTCTGTGCCCATCAGGGCCTCCCCCCTTACCACAGAACCCTCACCTTGTTCGAAAGCCACCTCCCTCAGGCAGGGACTGGGGGCTCCTCAGGAGTAGGAGAGCCCTCTTTGGCTGCCTCAGTTTCCCCCCAGGTTAGGACGGAGCCTCGTCAAGGACGAGGTCCCCAGTGTGAGCCACGCTGGCTTGCCCCGGGCCCTGGTACCTGACTGAGCTTTGGGGAGCCCCCAGCTCCTGTGTCCCAGGGACCCCTCGGCCGTGCTTCCATCGCGGCACATGTAGCTGTCATTGGGCAGAGAGTGCGTGCGGCTGACCCCGGACTTCCGCACGCTCAGCAGGTCTGGCACCTCCCCCGGGTGGGGCCTCCTCTGCAAAAGAAACAGGGGAGGGAAGTGGGCGGAAGAGGGGCATCCAGATTGGGTAACTGAGGCAGAGATGGACAGCACAGGCTAAAAGCTCCCCACCCCCCACCCCCGCCACCGCCCAAGGCCCCGGCCCCCACCCCCTTCTCGGACAAGGTGGTGATGGGATGTGTCAGGCAGAAGGGCAGACACATGGAGGAGCCCTCCACACACAGGGAGGAAGGAGGCGGGAGGAGGCCCTGGCCCCACAAAACCATCCACACTGTAACCCTTGGAGCCTCCCGGGCAGGGGGGGCGGGGCGGGTGGAGGGTGAGGAGGTGTCTAAAGGAAGGAGAGCAGCCCCCAGCCCCCAGCCTGGTTTAAGAGCTCATCCTCAAGGCCCCACTGAGAGGGGCCGAAGGACCACAAGGGAGGATGAAAAGCTACCAGCATCCCGCAGTCCTCCTTGCTGGGGCTGTGGGGGGACTGGGAATGGGGGAGACTTGGCAGCTGGGACTGCCTTCTAGGTCTCCATCCAATTTTGAAGGCGGCCTCAGCACCCAGTACTGGGCGTGGGCCGAGTGAACAGGTTGAACGACATGAACTTTAGGGGGTGTCACAGCTGGCTTACCCGCCTGTCCCCCTCTCCCCTTTTAATCACACCATGGGGGTGGGCTGGGCACTCAGGTCCTCCTCAGCGGAGAGACGGGGGGTGAAGGTGGGTGCCTGGAATCTATTTCAAAGAAAGGCCTTTGACCCCAGCCAGAGGGAGACGAGGTTTGCTCCCAAGAGACTTCTCCATCCCCCGGTCTGTTCCCAGTTCTCAGGGCGGCTGCAGGGTCCCACACGGGCCCAGCCGGTTGAGCAGCCACCAGGCCGGGAATGGCTGTGTTGAAGACAGTGTGGTTCCTTTGCTTCCCCCGCTCAGCTCAGGTTCCACTTCTGCACCCACCCCAAGACCCCTAGGGACAGAGCCCTGCTGTGAGGAAGGGGGTCCCAGTCCCCTCTTAAGTCCTAAGAGAAAGGAGAAGGGTGGGAGGAGGGGGCTGCTCATAGTCAGAAGGGACCAGGGGTCGGGCAAGGGTGGAGAAGCTGTCAAAACACAAAGAAGCCCCCGGACACAGGGACACACAGGGACAGGGACAGAGAGGACAGGACGCCCCCCCGCCCCCCCCCCAGCCCCATTGGAAAAGGGCAAGATGGTGGCAGCAGAAATGTGGCTCTTACCCACTATGTGGTGGCAGATGGCGGGGGGTGGGGGTGGGGAGGGAGGGCAGGTGGGAAAGAGGGGGGCAGGGAGGGGGAGGGCTGGCTGGCACAGGGCTCCAAACTTGGAGGCTGGTTCTGCATCGAGGCAGGCCCTTTGGTCAGCTGCCTGAGGCCACCTCTGCTTTGGGCTGTGTCACTCCTGTGGGTCCGGATTAACCCTTTCACAACGGCAGCTCCTGGGCCCTTCTCGGGGAGGCCCTGATTGCATATGATCTCATTTCTTTGTCCACAGTGGGGGACCCGAGAGCCCTAACAAAGCCTGGGGCACCAAGTGCCTATGGTTGTGCCTGTGCCTGTGCCTCTGCGTGGGGCCGTGACAGGGGAGGGGGCAGGGATCTGGAGCCCGGCAGCCAGCCCAGCCCCCGGGGAGGCCGGGGGAGCAGTGAGGGGCTGTGCATGTACATTGCTCTCCGGGGCACTAAGTAAGAGTGTGTGAGTGTCATCAGGCAAAGAGTCATCCGTCAGAGCTAGAGAGCAGGACGGTTCAGACACAATCTCTGACGTCAGAGACAGAGCCTCCATCTCAGCTAGAGGGATCTAGACAGGGAGAGAGATGAGCAGGCATGAGAAACCAGGACGGAGAGCGCTCACGCACACACATGCAACGCACACGCACGTACACAGAGCCCCTCTGCCCCCTTTCCACGAAGCACAGGGAAAAGGGGCCTCCCTTCTCTCTCCCCACCGGCTTCCCGAGTCAAGTTAAACCGCACCCCCCACACACACACCTCAAACCCCCACTCTGATCAGAGAGGCTGCAGCAGGCACCAAAGGGCCAGAGCAAACACTGACAAAGCAGGAGACACAGAAACGTATTCTAGAGATACCCCAGGAACCTAACAGCACCCCCGCCCCCCCAACCAGGGAGGGAGCAGGATGGGGAGGGCTTTAGACTCTCATGAAGATTCCAGGGGGAAAAAATGCAGAAAGGCCAGCAACGCCCTCTCTGCCCTCAGCACAGACAGCAGTGGCGTGCGGGGTGTCGGTGTGTGTGTGGGGGTGGTGCTGGGGACAAAGCCGCCGATCTGATGACTGCTTTCTGCCTATTCTCTCGGCTTCCAAAAGCCTAGCAGGACTTGGCCTGCCCCCGGATTCCGGCTTCTCCCCTCCCGGGGCCTCCTCCGCCTGCTGGCATGGCTTGGACTCTGGGAGATGCTCTCCTCTTGCCAGCCTGCACTGGACACACCTGGTGGGCCGCCACACCAGCGGGCTGTCTCACCTGGAACCCACTGGGGGCAACCTCAGTGCCTACAGGACCCTGGGGGGCAGCGGGGCCGTCCGGCCCGATGAGCTGGCTGCCCTGACCCCTTCCCATCGCCTCCTCCTCTCTCTCAGCACCGTTCCCCACGGGCCTCCTTCAGGAGGGGCGGCTCAGGAAGGACTCCCTCTCCCTCTGATCACACTAGGGCTTGGCCAGGTTCAGGTCCCTACAGCCCCTCTGAGACCCTGGAGGCCAGGCCCCTTCCCCTGGGAGGGTCTCCGTACATTTCTCTGGGTCAGGATACAGGTATCCCAGACTCTGGGAACCTGCCTGTCCACCCCTTCACCCCACAGGGCCTGTGGGACTCGAGGCTTTTCTGTCTCCAGCTGACACCTGTTTCCAGGTCTGCTGCAGCCCCTAGCCTAGGAGAGGGGTGGGGGGTACTCTGCCATATGGAGGGGGTCAAGGGCAGCCAGAGAGGCCACGGGGGGAGAAGAGGAGGACCCCAGAAAGCAGGAGATCCACGTCTAGATGGGACTGGGGGAGAAAAACCCGTGGCACCGTGGGAGGGGCTGGGCTTGAGGAGGAAGCCGAACCGTATGTCACACCCGAGTCCCAGAATCCACTCCCAGCTGGAGCCTTCATTCTTTCTCGGGACCAGGTCGGCATCCACGGGCTCCTGACTGCACCCCTCATGCCCAGGGGGTCCCATGGCTTCAAACGCCTCCAAAACAGAGGACGGGGGGTGGCTGGTGGGTTCGGAGAAGGGAGACCGTGGCCTGAGCGTGTCCCTCAGTGGGTCCCCTCGCCACCGGCTCTGCTCCCAGAGGCCCTTCTCTCTGGGCCTGGCGCCTCACCTCCTCCACACCCTGTCCCAGCCCCCTCTCCTCGTTCAGGGTCTTTCTCACCAGTGCTCTCTCCAAACCCCATCTCCATCCATCCTCTCACTCAGAGTCCCATCTCAGCACCCTCCCTTCCAACTGTGTGATCCAGAGCCTCGTCTCAGGCGGAGGGACACCTTGGTGCCTCCTGCCAAGCCCGAAGCCCAACTGAGGCCCTCAGGCTGCTCTTTCTCCAGGTCCCCAGCGCGCAGGACACGCCCCACCTCCCAGAAGCAGGCACAGCACGGCACAGCTCGCAGGGCCAGGGAAGGAGGCACAGCACGGGCACAGTAACCTGTGGGTCGGAGCCACCCGGGCTGCTGGCTGGAGGGAAGGCAGAGGGCTGGCCCTCTGGGCCTGCCAGCTCGTCCATCAGCTTCAGCTCCCCCTCCAGGGAGTTCTGGATCAGCAGGGATATGGTGTCAAACATCTGTCTGTCCTGGGAAGGACCAGCCCATAGGGGGAGCCGGAGAGTCAGGGAACAGGGGTCAGAGGGGCAGTGAGAGGACAGGGGATTGACCAGAGACACAGAGGGAGAAAGAGAAGGACACACACACACACACACACACACGCACACACACACGCACACACGTGTGTGCACACACAGCGACAAAGAGCCGGAGGAAGAGGAGGGAAGGGGGTGGTGGGGAAGAGAGAGGGGTGGGAAGAGGAAGGAGAGATGGGAGATGGAAGATAAGAGCCCACGGGGAGAGGGGGAAGGAAAGAGAGGATTGGGGAAAAGGATGGAGAGATGGAATCAGGCAGGTCGAGGGTGGGAAGGAAAGAGGTTTGGTAATCGGGCAAGGGTAAGAAAGAAACAGGAAGGAAACAGAAAACTTAGCCTTGAACCTGAGAGCCAGGAAGGGGAGGCCAGGCCGGCGGAGGCCCGGGGATGAGTGAGCCAGCACATGTGTGGCCCTGGGCAGTGAGTGTGGGCTGCCATCGCGGGGCTGGGCAGGGGACTGCTGGTCCCTCCACTTCCGGGCAGGAGCAGCAGGAGGCCAGGGGGAGCCCTGGGGTCAGCTGTGCTGCCCACTCCCTGTGTACCACCCACCGAGCCACTGGCCACCCACCCACCTGTCCCCGTCCCCCACACCCCCTCGAGCAGGGGGGGATGTGTGCTCACCGTGCGGGGCTCCAGGGCGTAGCGAGAGGAGGCCGCTCCGGCGTGGGTCACGGCGTGGGGGGCCCCAGGCTTGGGGCTGTCGGGGCCCTCGGCCCCGGGCCAGAGGAAGGGGCTCCCCAGCGGCGAGTGGGGCTGCGGGCTGAGCGGCTTCATCTCCAGCTCCAGCTCGGCCTCCAGCTCGGCCTCCTCCTTGGCCTCCTTGTTGCTCTCCTCCAGGTGTTTCATCAGCACGGCGATCACCACGTTGACCAGCACAAACTGGGCCGTCAGCACGAAGGACACGAAGTAGATGGGGGAGATGACCGTGTTGTAGCAGGTGGACTCCTGGTCGCAGTCCCGGAGGGTGTCCTGGGGGAGGCGGGTAGAGGGGTGAGGCGGGGCGGACAGCGGACGGAGCTGTCATGGGAAATGGGGTCATCGGTGTCACAGAGCATGAAGGAGGAGGCGGAAGGGCAGGAGGAGGGGCCCACAGTGCCGGGGTCATGGGGGGTGGGTGGGTAGGAGAGCGTCAGACACTGGCCTGGGAAGCGTGAGTCAGAGCGTGACCCGGGGACCCGGGGAGAGGGAGGTGCGGTGTTCCGCACGGGGGATAGAAGGGCACGTGCTTTTAGTCACATCTCGCCAAGGAATCTTGGCCCAAGAAGTAGGGCTGTCTTCTTGGGGCCCGAGCCAGCCCTGGGGGTACCCCACTGCAGGCGGCTCTCACCTTCATAATGCCATTCCAGTTGTCACCTGTGGAGACCCGGAAGAGGGTCAGAAAGGCCATGCCAAAGTTGCGGAAGGTGGCATGCCGGCCCAGGCCCTCACAGGGGTGCGTCTCGTCACATTCTGGAGGCGGGACGGGGAGAGAGGCCGAGTTAGTCCAGGAGACCCCGGGGCCCCAGGCCTGCCTCCTCCATCCTCCCCACCCCAACTCACCCAGGTCTCCAAAGAGCTCCACGCCCAGAGCTGCAAAGATGAAAAACAACAACATGAAGAGAAGTCCCAGGTTCCCCACCTGGAAAAGAGGAAAAGAAATGGAAAAGGTGCCGCCGGATCTCCCAGCCAGCTTCCCTGAGCCGCCCCCCCCTTTGGAGAGCACCCCCTCCCTGAGAGGACCCCGCCCACCTGCCCCCACCGCCCAGCTACCTGGGGCAGGGCCTGCATCACTGTGTCCAGCAGCGCCCGCATGCCCACAGCCATCTTCAGCAGCTTTAGCACTGCAGAAAGGACAAAGTCGTGAGATGGCCCCTCTGAGTCCCAGGTCATGTAGCTGGTGGGGCCATGGCCAGGGCCGGGGCGGGTAGGGTGCCTGGCCCCAGCAAGCCAGGCTGCCATGGCTCCAGTGCCACCCTCAGCCCAGCCTCGACCATCCATCCCCTTTGGCAGAGGCTGGGAGAAATACCCACAGGAACCCACACCTACTCAGTCCCTGGCCAGCGCCCGAGCGGATCCCTGCAATCCCCCACCCCTGGGGCCAGTCGCCCAGGCAGGGTGAGGGTGGTGGGCAGGCAGCTGGCCACTGACCTCGGGCGATGCGCAGCACCCTCATGATGCGGATTATGGTGGGGTTGATGGGCAGTGAGGCGTTGACCTCGATCTCCTCCAGCGTGATGCCCATGATGGACAGCAGCACAATGGCCAGGTCCAGCTGGTTCCACCTGGAAACACGAGACACAGATCCCTGAGTGTGTGTGTGTGTGTGTGTGTGTGTGTGTGTGTGAGGGGGTAGGGGGTCCCTGAGGAGGAGGAGGCAGTTTGGGCTACAGAAAGGAGTGGAGGTCACTTGTCTATGGTCACTTAGCCAGTCCAGCCGGTGGCATAGGCAGGGCTATGACTTTAGCTTGAGGGCCTCTGCTTTTCATTGTTATTCATTTGCTGTTTTATTTGGCACTTCTATGCTGTTTGCTATGTGCCAAGTGCTGTTTTAAGGGCTTTATAAATAGGAACTCTTTACAGCTCTGTGATTTGGATAAATTAGCTCCCATTTTACAGACCAGGAAATGGAGGCACCGAGATTTTAAGTAACTTACCCAAGGTCATCAGTTTCTAAGTGGTGGAGCCAGGGTTCAAATCTGGTCCAGGCAGTCTGGCTCCACGCTCTCCGCTCTTAAGCCCCAGTCCAGGCCACAGTGATTTCCAGCTGCCACTGTCCCCCAGGCCCTGTCTTGTCAAGTTCCCTTCCTTCTCTCCCATCTCCCAGGCCCTGGATATCACACAACCCACCCTACCACCAGCCCTTGGTAGGTCCTGGGCTGAACCTCAGAAGTCAAGAAAGGTCTTCAGGCTCTAGGTCAGTGGTTCTCAACCTTCCTAATGCCGCGACCCTTGAATACAGTTCCTCCTGTTGTGGTGACCCCCAACCATAAAATTATTTTCGTTGCTACTTCATAACTGTAATTTTGCTACTGTGATGAATCGTAATGTAAATATCTGATATGCAGGATGTATTTTCATTGTTACAAATTGAACATAATTAAAGCATAGTGATTAATCACAAAAACAATATGGAATTATATATGTGTTTTCCGATGGTCTTAGGCCACCCCTCTGAAAGGGTCGTTCGACCCCCAAAGGGGTCTCGACCCACAGGTTGAGAACCGCTGCTCTAGGTCCTTCCCCACTCCCAAACCCTTCTCTATCACCTGTCCCCTTCCCCTCTGTCACCTGTCCCCTTCCCCTCTGTTACCTGTCCTGGAAGAACCGACGGAAGCCAAAGGCCACGAGTTTGAAAACTGACTCCAAGACAAAGATAATGGTGAAGATGTAGTTGCAGATCTTCAGAGCCTCGTCCAGGATCTGGCAGGGATGGGGTATGATGGATAAGGCCAGGGATGATACCTGCTGCCCCCAGCTAATCATACCTCCCAGATCTGGGAGACAGGGTGAGTCTGAGAGGACCGTTCTTCTCTGTTCCCGCCATGTTGGCTGGCCACTGCTTACTACTGTAGGACAGAGTAGGGTCCTCATTCACGGGGAATGCAAGAACTGGCCGGGGCCCTGTGCATTACCAGTTCAATGTTCCTATTTTACAGATGGGAAAACTGAGGCCTGGAGGGCAGCCGATGAAAGCTGACTGGAGGAGTGGCAAGATTGCTGGTGAGCTTGGGGGCTGGACATTCACTAGAACCTATACTCCAGAAGGGCTGGCACTAGTCTGCCTTCTTTTTATATTTATTTTATTTTTTAAATCCTCATCCAAGGATTTTTTTTTAAAAATATATTTTATTGATTTTTTACAGAGAGGAAGGGAGAGAGATAGAGAGTTAGAAACATCGATGAGAGAGAAACATCGATCAGCTGCCTCCTGCACATCTCCTACTGGGGATATGCCCGCAACCCAGGTACATGCCCTTGACCGGAATCGAACCTGGGACCTTTCAGTCCGCAGGCCGACGCTCTATCCCCTGAGCCAAACCGGTTTCGGCCCAAGGATATTTTTTCTATTGATTTTTTTTAGAGAGAGTGGAAGGGAGGGAGGAAGGGCGTGGAAGAGAGAGTTTGAGAAACAGAGAAACATCAATTGGTTGCTTCCCACACGTGCCCCAACCGGCACTGGGGATTGAACCCGAGACCCTTCCGTGCCTGGGCCAATGCTTTAACCACATAGCAACCCTGGCTAGGGCCAGTCTGCCTCGTTACCCTCACAGGTGCAGAGCTCAGCACAGGGTAGGCACTCAATCAATCCATACGTGCTGGGTGAAGAAATCAGGTCCTCTACTTCCAAGCTTTGTGACCTTAGTCAAGTCAACTAACCTCTCCCAGGCTCAGTGTCCTCCTCTGTTAACCCAGGATGAGACCCGGCTCCCAGGGTAGTGAGAGGGGCACAGGAGGAACCCATGCAGAGTGCCCAGCGCAGGCTTGGCTGGTCTCACCCCCGGGGCCCCACAGCCAAGGCAGGGCCCTCATGGCTGGCCAGCCACTCCTACCTGGGGCTGCTGGTAGTGCTCCATGGCCATGGTGACCACGTTCAGCCCAATGACCCCCGTGATGAAGAGATCCAGGTAGTGGCTGGTGCAGAAGTTGTGGACGAGGAGCCGGAAGCGGGAGTAGTCCGAGTAGTAGGGTTTGCACTGGGCTTCTGGGGGGGGGCCAGGAGGAGAGCAGAGCAGTCGTGGGGCCCTGATCCCTGCGCCCCCTCCACCCGCAGTCCCTCATAGCCACCAGCTTCTAATGCCCGAGCTGAAACATTCCAGGATCATCAGCACCCTTGCCCTCCAGTTACTTCCTTTTCGGGGGGTGGGGGGAGCTCTCTCGGCATCGCCCCTCCAAGCGTCTGTGCTACTGGCTACCGGCTACCGTTGGGTGCAGAAGGGGTCAGGACATGCAGAGCTCCCCACCCACATTAGACACTAGGTGAGCCCCCGCCCGGAGGCAGCCTCCGACATCCACCAGCCCCTCGTAACTCCCTCGACTCGGTGTTCCGCAACCAGGCCAGATCAATAAGATAAAAAACAACCGGTCTTATCAGGCTCGGAGGAAACTCCATCAACAGAGAGGCGAAGGCTCTTGCTCCTTCACCAAGCAGCCCTTGAGGGCAGCGGAGGAGCTTACACAGAGCTGGGATTTGGAGATAAAACCGGAGATTGGAAATTGGACATCTTCTTGGCAGGCTGCACTGCTCCACGCCCCCCAGGGCCTCCGGGGAGGCAGGGCCTGGACCTCCTGCACCCTTGTGTGCAGGAGGGCAGAGCGGAGGCCATGGGGCCCTGCTCGGTCCCAGGCTCATCTGGGAGGACCCCACTTGCAGGACTCACCCAGTTTCTAATGAGGCAGCCCAGCCTGCTCCGGGGGCCAGGGCAGCGTTGGATGCAGGCCGGGCTGAAAGCGCTGTCTGAGATCTGTCAGAGGCACACTCTTTCTCTTGTAATTAGGGAACCACTTCGTTATAAAAATCATGGTGCCAGAGAGCTGGCCTGTTAAGCAGGCAGAATGCATCTGAAGGCAAGAGATTGCAGGGGGTCGGGGGGCCTCCTCCAGGTGCTGGGGAAAGGCCAGGCCGAGTTGGGGATGCATGCCATCCGGGGGTGGTTGACAGAATGGTCTCCCAGGCAGCCACAAGGAAAAAGAGGCCTCCCACGGGAGGCTGGGGCAGCCTCAGGTCCCAGACAGCCCTTCCCCCTCAGGAAGTCTAGGGCGAAAGCCAGCTAGCGCAGGCTGCAGCCTCTGAGGCCTATGCCAGGGGTGGCTGGCTCAGGGGCGGCAGGAAGCTTTGGGCCCAGGCCAGTTCGTCTATAATTGTCCTTTCCCATGCAGAGGACTGTTGAACAGAGAGGTAAACCGAGGCAGGGAGTGGCCTGGGTGGGCCTCCACCAAAGGCCGAAGGAAGAAGAGTGCCCAAGAGCTGCACGTTCAGCCTCGCCCGATGCCACGGTCCAGCATCAGCCCTGAGGTGTGGATAACCAAGAGGCAGCAGGTCTAGAATATTGGGGCGCATCACAGGGTGTGCTAGGCCATCGCTCTGCCTGCAGACACGGGCCAGCCAACGGTGGCTTTGTTTGCTCAGGCGGCCCTCCTGACCCCCAGGAGGGTGGCGGTGGAGAGGCCTGGGACAGGGGACAGCAGGAGGCCACGGGTCATCCACAGGGCGATCGTGGAGGGTGGACCAGGCGAGGGGGCCTCTTCCTTCCTTCCTTCAGTACCCACAGAACCAGAGGGCGCTAGTCGCCCGTGTTGCTTTAGCAGCTGGAACTCTTTTTCTGCATTAATCTCCATAAGTGCCGAGAGAGCACCGAGTCCATTATGCTAAAATATGAATGGAGAATTAACTAAAATGTTTGAATACAATTAGGTTAGAAATAGTGGCTCCTTATTAGCCCATTATTAGCTGAGACAATGCAGAGAGGTTGGGAGAGTGCCTCCTCTCCCCTCTTGCCCAGTCTGACTGTTTAGGCGACCCCAGGGCCAATTAAACCTCCGCCTTCACCGCTGCCAACTGGCCAGGGACCCCTCCTCCAAGTGGCCCAGAGAGAAAGTGGGGGCAGGACGACTGAGGCAGGGCATCTGCTCATAGTGACCGACCGGTCCCATCCCAGGTCCCAGGCCCCTGAGGTCTGTGCCAATGCCCTTCCACCTCCACCCCTACCCCCAACCTAGACCAGCCGGTGCAAAGGCTGCTGGAAAACCCCTGTGAGAGCACAGGTCAAAGTGCACCAGGGCCAACCCCTTGTTTCACCGAGGAAGAGAACAAGGCCAGCAGAAAGCGAGTCCTCCACACACTGGGAGGCAGTGACAGCGCCGGGCCTGAACTCCCAGCTCTAGGCCCCCAGCAGCGGCCAGGGGGTTTCAGACCCAGAGCTCGGGGATCTGGCCCAGAGGATGCCCTCGGAGAGTTTGCCAAAGGCCCTGGCTGTTGGACTCTGAATGATGCTGCCCCCTTTCTGCTCCCCAGCCCGTGGTTTTATAGGCAGCACCTGGGCTCCCAGCAGAACCAGGGACGCCCCGCCCCCCTCCCTCTGGAGGAGGGAGGAGCCTCATGCGGATCTGCTGCTCAGAGAGTTCTGGTCATTGCCCAGGAATGGCCCAAACCAGTGGTCACTGGCATGTTGGCAGCCCTGGCCCCATCTCCCTGCCTCCCAGTAGTATGAGCTCTTTTAGGCAGAGAAAATACCAGAGTCAGACAGTGGGGAGAAGGGCACCCCAGGAATGCCCTGCCCCTAGTCAGGGGCAGGAACGCAGGAGAGGTGCAGGGAGGGTGTGAGGCTGTGAGTGAGGGCAGCAGGCAGAGTGAGTTAGTAGGGGTCACTGGGAGCCTGAGGATTTGCAAAGGAGAGTGGCAGGGAGTAGGCGGAAGGTGGAGACACAGGCCCCCACGGCAGAGGCCACACCATCAGCTGCCACAGCCAAGCCTGCTCGCTGGGTTCAGTGGAAAAGGAGAGGGCGGTGCAGGCAGGTGTCCCACACAGGTGCGGTGGGCGTGGAGCTGGTGCCGAAGGCCAAGTGGTCCCTTGGGGCTAACCTGACTGCTCAGGCTGGTCCCAGGTGGCCAGTCAGGCCCATTGCCCTGGTAACCAAAGCCTTTTCCCGTGGGCCTCTCCCTGGGGTCTGGCTGAAGCCCTCCCGCTGGGCACAGCACTGGCATTAGCAGGGAGGTGTTTGATTCCTGCAGCCCCAGGCTAGGGTGTGTGTGACGTCATTCGGGGGACACTATGGGATAGGTTACCCAGCAACATCACCAGCCCCTGAGAACGACTGGAAATGCAGGCGCTCACCTTCTGCCCCAGTCCACACTGTGAGCACTTCTAGGTGAGGCCCAGGCATCTGTGTTCTAATATGTTCTCGGGGCAGTTCTTTTGCACACAGAGATTTGAAAAGCTCTGGTATGGACCACCCGGGACCCCAGATCTGGGAAAGAGGATATGGGACGACCTGAGGCCCTCTCCGGGGGTCTCTGAGCACCCGTCACCCGCTGGAAAGGTAACACACACTATTGCAATCCGTGTACATACTCTCATGTGCCAACAGGAGCACGGCACAATGTCCCCAGAGTGGGGATGCGGCGTGAGAGTAACGAGAGCGTTTAGCTTCGAGTAGGCGTGTCAGGAGTTCTCAGAGGCTGTGAGAGTCTGCACGTGCTGGTTCGTGGTGGAGGAGCTCCTGGGGTGTTTTGGGGTGAGCGTGTACGTGTGGACACTTCAGCCTACAGACCCACAAGGCCTCCCACCTTCTCCTCACCCCTTAACACGTCTGGAGCGTGCAGCGCAGGTTGTCGCAGAGAGCGGACCCAGGCAATCCAGACTGACCAGCTGGAGACGCCTGCGCCCCCGAGAGAGATGGTCTCTCGATGCCAAACACCAGAGCTCGCACCATGGGGCCAGCAGACAGCCACCCATCTAGGGCCTCAGGATGACCTCCCACACGGTGGCTCAGTGGGTCCCCCTTGGGTGGGTCCCCGAGCCCCCGTAGCTCAGACAGCCCCACATCCACAGGGCAGCGTCTGCGGAGTCGTGTTTTGGGGGGGAGTGCGGGATAAGGAAGAAAGGCTCAGCCCAGTGGTCCCCAGTCTGAAGCCCACGCCCTCAGCAGCCTGAAAAGGCAGCCACATGGGGGTTCTTAGGTTCTTTTCAGTATTTCTAAAAGCTTAAAAACGTCACGCACAAGCCTGTGTTAAGAGCCCACAGATGAACTGAGAGGCAACATGTTTTTTGTTTTGTTTTGCTTGTGTGTTGTTTTTTTTTGCCATCATTCAGTGTGAAACCTTCTGCGGCTTAGAAGCTCTGATTAGCAATTACATGTGCCTTTGATTAGCAAAAACTGAAACAAAGTCATTATTGAAGTGCTCTTAACTTCAAAGACGGCCTTTTATAATGTGGGGTTTGTTGGCGATGATAAGGGGGGCCCTTGGGGATCAGCAGGTTGGGAACCACTGCGCGGAGACATCAGAGGGTGTAACTGAGGTCCCACTGCCCTGACCCAGAATCCAATGACCTCAGAACCCCCAGTCCGGGGGATGTGTCGGCCGAGCAGGCGCGCGGGGGGAGGGGGGGTGGGGGGTGGTCAGGACCAGGAAGGCTTCCCAGAGACCGGCTCTCAAAGAGAAGGACCCAACTCGCTCCCAAATCCTGGGTTTCGGGGAGAAGCTTATGGCTAACGCAGGCCTTGCATTCCCAAGTCCTGCTGTTTGTAGCGATGACGTGGCCACCGCGATTACTTGACTATTAATGAGTCTGTTCAATTATTCATCGTTACATTTTTGAAACAAATCCGTCCCCTCGCTGCTCCTCTCATCCTGCGCACTTGATCAAAGTCTCCCCTTCAGACAAAAGGAGACGGAGAGATGTGCAGCTCTAACCATCGAACTGTATGACCTGGGAGAAGGAGCAGGAGTGGGGAGAGGCAGCGGGGGGCTGGGGAGCTCGGGCGTGGGAAGCCTTGCAAGAGAAGGTGGGTCCTTCAAGAGGTGTCTGAGGGAGGGGGTGCTGAGACCCTCGCCTCCCATCCAGCGAGCGCAGCACCCCAGGGACCCTCACCCCTTCGCCCCGAGAGGAGAGAACCAGTGAGCCGTGGAGAGGCAGCAAAGAGGAGGTCCCCAAACCCATGAGGCGGGCCTGGGGGCAGGCAGGGCCTGACCACCCCCGGGCCACACCCTGGAACCCGCAATCCCAGACGCAGTACCTGGCGCCGCGCTGGCTGAGCTGCCGGAAGCAATTACATCGTCCAGCATTAGATCTAAAAGAACGAAACACGACATGGGTCACTGGCCGGACCTGGCGGGCTGGGCAGGGCCCCCTCAGCAGCTCGCTCCCCCTCGGCTCCGACCCTCAGTCCGCCTACGAATGGGGTGTGCCTAGCGTGGGTGGGCTGGTCCTCAGTGTCAGCCCCAAGCTCGGGGCGCAGAGCACTTGAGGAAAAGGGAGCTATTCAGCCAACTCGACAGGGTCACGGGGACAGGCAATCAGGCACAGGGCGGGGCAGGCAGCCTGTCATCAGAACAGATGTCCATGCCTACCTGTGCCCCGGCCTCAGCTGCACCTGAGGCGGCTCCAGACCCCAGAAGGGGAGCCAGCTGGTCAGGCAGGGCCACAAGTGCCTCCTGCCAAAAAGAATTCCGTCTGCAGATGCCCTGCCAAGAAGGCAGACGGCAAGGAGGGGAGCGGGGATGGAGCAGGGGTGGGAGCATGGCTGCTGGGGGCGAGGCGCCTGCTCAGCCTCAGACACAGAGCGAGCCAAGATGGGGCCCCTACCCCAGGGCTGAGCGGTTCGCCCGGGACACAGGTGTGGAGGCTGTGGGACGGGGACAACTGCACCACCTGTGCTGCCCAGAGGCCCGTCTCCCCTCCACGCCTGCCTGAGGGCCCCGCCTCTCCCAGGGCACACGGGCTCTGCCCCACCCGCACCCATCTGGTGGTACTCACATGTCAACACACCAAAGAGCAAACTCACTGCACACATCTTATCGGCGGAAGGAAGACGGTGTGAAAAGGAGGAGAGAGAAAGGGAAACCCGCAGACCAGACAGAGACAGACACACAAAGGCTTAGAGAAACCCACACACAGAGACACTCAGAGAAACGTGGGCAGTGACAGGAAGAGAAACTCGTGGGGATGACTGGGTACCAGACAGGCAGGCAGGAGCCCTGAAGACAGGTGCAGGCGCACCTGGAGACTCCGGGAAGCAAAGGGGCTCCTCCCCCTGTCACGTCTCGTCAGTCCATCCTCCCTGCAATCTGTGTGTCTTTTCCCTTAGTCCAGCGGTTCTCAACCTGTGGGTTGCGACCCCTTTGGTGGTCGAATGACCCTTTCACAGGGGTCGCCTAAGACCATCCTGCATATCAGATATTTACATGACGATTCATAACAGTAGCAACATTACAGTTATGAAGTAGCAACGAAGATAATTTTATGGTTGGGTCACAACATGAGGAGCTGTGTTTAAAGGGCCAGAAGGTTGAGAGCCATTGCTTGGTCTCATGGCAGAAGAGCGTGGGGAGGGGCGGAGAGGGGCCTCACCCAGACAGTGCCAAGAAAGGCTGGAGATCACAGGTGAGGGGGCTGAAGGCTCTAAGGCCAGAGAGTCATGTGCTTAGAGTTCCTGTGACCCCAGACCTTCTCTGGACCAGGAGGAGATTTTTTTTTTTTTTTTTACAGCTTGTTTGAAAACTGACAGTGGGGAAGGCAGGGGTCCCCTCTCGCTGCTGTCCATTGGCAACCTCTGTCGAGACCGTGCTCAGCAGCTAGACACTAGGCAGGCACAGGTTCAAGACGCCTGCATGCCAGCCCTGGGCCGGGCAAGGCTGGCACCTGGGCCAACCCCTGGGTCTCTGGACAGTGGCCCCGGACAACGGAGCATGAGTCTCATCCCATGAGGCTCCTCTGAGAGTCGAGCTGGGAGAGGCTGTGCATGACTCCCCTGGAATCATCGCCGGAGTATGATGCTGAGCCCTGGGGAGCCTCGCAGGGTGGGGGTGGCTCCCCCGCCCCCCACGGGGCTGAACTGGTGTGCTTCATGCTGGCTCTAAAGGCTGACATGCTCTTGTGGGGGAGGAGGTGAGGACGGGGGTGGGAGCAGCTTCTCCCGGCCCCCAGCCCCAGCCCCTGGCCCCCTACAGTCGCAAGGCCAAGGTCAGGCACGACTCAGAGAGAGGTGGAAAGACTACCGACCAGCCATCTGCTTCTCCTTACTCCTTCTCTTTTTCTCCAGTCTCCGCAGCCGCTTCTCCTCCCGCCGCCGGGCCTCCTCCTCCTCCTGGTGCTGCCGACACTTGTGGAAGTTCTCCACCACCACGCCCACAAACATGTTCAGGACAAAGAAGGCCACGATGAGCAGGAACGAGATGAAGTACAGGAGCATCCAGGGGTTGTGGTTCATGATGGGCTGGCAGGGAGCAGGAAGGACAGGAGGAGCCATCAGCCCTGGGGGACTGTCTCAGGTGCTGCCCCATCACCTGAGTCCTTTAAGACGGGGCCCACAAACTCTGTGAGCTACAGGGACCCAGCAGGGGCTGGAAACAAACCGTGTGGGTTCAGTGTTCGGCAGTAGGGAGGGGTGGGGACTGTGGCAAAGTGGAGAGTGGCTCTATCTAAAGGGGAAGCTGCGTCTTTGTTCCTGCTGATTCCGGCTGGGGGAATGCAAGTCCAGGGTTCCCAGATCTTTGCATTTCTCCTGAACAGGCCCACGTCTGGATTTTCATGTGCAATTCGCCAATTTTTAAATGCTCACCACCAATTCAAAGTATTTAAACGTGTTGCAAAGCCAATAAGACATGCCTGGGTTTGGCCCTCAGGCTGCCAGTCACAGCCTCTGCCGTGAGAGGCAATGTCTCTTCGATGGCATTTTCCCAGCCTGCCTTGCCCTCTTTCTCTCTAGTGCTGGCACTTGTCATGCCTGGAGCCGGCCCATGCTGAGTGCCCTCAGCCCCAACATGGGTCCTGCCCGCCTCGAACCTACCTGCTGGTCCACACCCACGGCATCCAGCCCATCGTACATGATGTCCACCCAGCCGTCCTTGGAGGCCAGCACGAACAGGGACATCAGGGCCTAGGGGGAGGGGGAGAAGGAGAGACCATCGGAAATTTAGGATGTGTGGCCAAACCACCCACTACCTGTCCTCAAAGCACCTCCTGGCAGCAGCTTGGGGGACCCCAGCCCCTCCGAGGTCAGGCTGGGGTCACACTCCAGGCCTCTGGAGGGCTCCAAAGCTGGAATGAAACCAGAAGGGCCGTGGGACGTGATCAGACCCTCTGAACTTCAGAAACCAAAACCGGGGTGGGCCGGGGAAACACACCCGCAAAACCAAGGGAAGTACTTCTTTTTGTACGTCTCCCTGTTTCTGGGAATGCGGAGTGAGAAAAGGAATCGTCTTGACACTGTGCCTGCACCCTGAGACGGAAACATACAGCTCGTCTCACTGCATCCTTCCTGTGGCCTCCAAGGGAGACACCGCTAGGACCTGTTCACCAGCCGAGGAGACAGGCTCTGGCAAGGCCATTGCCCTGCAGGCATCATTAAGGCGGACTTGTGTCCTCTGGGGATTCCTGCCACCACTCCCACCTGCACCTCACAGCCTGGGGCTCACCTGGCCGAGGTTGTCAAAGTTGTACTTGTGCCGGACCCACCGGTAACTGGCTTCGGCACAGTCAGACTTGTTGGTGATGTTCCTGGTGTCCTCACCCTGGCACACGAAGAACTTCCCTTTGAAGAGCTGGACACACATGTGCCCGGAGACAGGGAGAAGTGAGCTGTGACCACCGGACGCCTAGAACTCCCAGCCCGCCTCTCCCAGCAGCCCTGGGGCCTAACAGCTCTGCGCGCATCCTGGGTGAGCGTAGGGGGCTCAGCCCTGGGATCAGCGGAGTCAGGGAACCTCCCCTGAAGGCACCCCTTCCTCTGGGCTCCTCGGAGCAGAGCCCGAGAGAGGGGAGGGAAGGGTGGCTACTGAAAAAAGGGTGAAAGGATGGGAAGAGCCACTCCTACAAAGGGCTGGGGGGCTGGTTCTCCAAGTGGGGTCCCTGGACCAGCATCAGCATCATCTGGGAATGTGCTATAATTACCAATTCTCAGGTCCACCCAGACCCACTGAATCAGACAGTCTGGGAGAGGGGCCAAGTGATCTGGTTTAATGGTGGGGGTGGGCTAGGTGTCATTGACCCCACTTTACAGATGAGGAAAACTGAGGCTCAGAAAAGTAAATTCACTCATTAAGGTTGTATAACCTTATACGACCAGAAAGGGGGCTCAAGCTCAGGTCTGTGTGGCTGGACAGCTCACCCTCACTCCAGAACAGACCAGGCTATGGCTGTGGGTGAGGAAGGGATTTGAGGAACGAGGACCAGGGGGCCTGGGCAGCAGCTCAGGACAGACCTAAATCCCCTGGAAGAGCCCCAGACAGGGCTCAACAATGGCTTCCTCTCCTCCTCCAAGCAGGCTGGGGAGAGAGGGAAGGGAAGGGGCACTGCTCGTGCGGGGAAGCACCACACGGCCTTGGCAACTGTACCTGAGCCGGGTCCCCAGGGCTAGAGAATTCCAGGAAACTGGGAACAGCCCCCTCCCCTCCCCAGGGCAGAGAAGACATCCAGAAAGTCAAAGGAAAGGAGGGGGACAGGGGTAGCCACTCAGGAGCTCCCCTGCTGCCCCAACCGCCAGCTGTCTACCCTGCAGCTGAAACAGCTGGAGCCAGGGGCTCGGGAAGACAGGGTGGAGGGGCTCCCAGAGGCGCCTGCGGAATCCTATAGGCAGCTCCCGCTCTGTTTCCTCCAAAGCCAAGTTCCCTCCCTGGGCCAGAGGCCAAGTTTCCCCTGCAGCCCCCACTTCCTGCCTCGTCTGGGGTCTGCACCCGCCTGCCTGCCAGCACGCCGCTAACCTGGCCCAGCTGTCTGGGCCCTGGATCCCCAGGCCTGGCCTGCAGCCCACCCCACTCCAGCAGGGAAGGCAGGGAGGGGATCCCGGAGCAGACCGTGGGCCTGTGCCAGCGTCTGCACTCCGAGTGCAGTGCACGAAGGGGGTGGAACAGCAGCCTGCAGCTGTCACAGGTCAGAAGCCTCTCTGAGGCCCTCGTCCCCTTCGGGCCCTCTTCCAGGCTCCCAGTTCTCTGCAAAGTGCCCAGGCAGCCAAGAGGCCCAAGGCCCGAGGTCTGGAGGAAAGCATCCCTGCTTCTTCCTTTCTGGAATAAAGGTGGCGCCAGCTTGGGTCTCGCCATCCAAGGACCCAGAGGAGAGCCACTCCTTAGGCTTCGGCTGACAGCTGCCCTCCGCCCCGACCCCCACACACCTGCACCCCCAGGATGCCAAAAATGATGAAGAAGGCACAGCAGATGACCACGATGTTGCCGATGGGCTTCAGCGAGGACATCAGCGTCTCCACCACCAGCTTCAGGCCCTGTGCCCGGCTGATCACCCTGGGGAGGGAAGGGATGAGAGGGGTTCCCCCAGCTCAGACACTCCCCTGTCCCTTGCCCTGCTGCCCCGCCTCCCGATCTTGGTTCCTTGGTCCCCTGGGCTCAGGTTGAGGGAAGAGGTTGGCTTTCTGGGCTGGCTGGGCAGAGCGGTCCTCTTTTCCTGGGACTCCTGCCGCCAGGATGCCCACCCGCCATCTCTCAAAACAGGAAGCCGATGCTCCCGCTCTCATTTCCCCTCTCGGGATGTCAATGACGACCTGGGGGAGCTAGGTGGGGACTCAACTCAAGAAGGGTGTTCACCGGGGATGCCGTGTGTTGCAAGGACAGGGACATACACTTGTAAGGAGCATGCAGGGGGCGGCCAGGGAGGGAATGGGGTGTGGCTTGTCACTGCTTGGGAAGCATCACTAGTCAGTCAGTATAGTCCCCATCCGTGTCCCCAGTCATGGACAATCGACTCTGGCCTGGGGATGGGAGGTGACTGCCTCCCTGGGGAGGGTTCCTGAGAGGGTGGGCACCTGCTACATCTGGAGGGTGGCCCCTGAGAGGGGCATGAAGGTAGAGAAAGCAAGGAAAGGCTTCACCAGGGAGGGCAGAGTGTCCCCCTTGAAGGTACCACCCAGGGCCCTTTGTACTGTGCCCTGCACAGGGCCAGGGGCACAGCCGCTCTGAGCAGTATGTCCTCTAGGGAGTGTCCCTGAGGGAGGTGCCCAAGGACAGGAGCTCCTCAGCCCGTAGTGTCAGCCGAATGATGGGGGGGTTCTCTGTGGGGGTCACAAGCAGGAAGCCGGGGCAGGCGAGGTTCTCGCTCTAGGTGGCCACGAGGCAGCATCTGGCGGGGGCTCACCTGAGCGGGCGCAGGGTCCGCAGCAGCCGCAGCACCCGCAACATGCCCAGGATCTTGGTGCCGCTGTCCGAGACCATGGACACCAGGATGTCGATGATGGAGATGAGCACCAGCAGCCCGTCCAGCACGTTCCAGCTGCTGCGCAGGTACGCCTGCTCCCCGAAGCACCAGCCCAGCGCCACCACCTGGGGATGCCCGCCACACCACCGTCACCACCGCCCCCCGGGGGCCGCAGCCCGGCCCTCCGCCCCCCAGGGACCCACGCAAGCCCCTCACCTTCACGGTCATCTCCGCCAGGAAGACCACGGTGAAGACGTAATTGGAGAGGGTCAGGAAGATGCGCTCCTGCAAGAGAGAGCAGGCGGGTGTTGCCTATCGGGGCCTCTCCTCGGGCTGAGTCTGCGCGGCATACAGAAACCAGGATTGTTCCAACATTCAACTCAGAAAAACGACCCCTCCTTTCCCCAACAAGGCAGATAAGCTCCTCTGCCTACCCCCTCACACACACACACACACACACACGCAGTGCTAGGCTCCTGACTCACTTGCTCCCCTGCCCTGAACAGAACTGCTCCCCTCCCCAGAGTGGCCTGGAGCTGGGGATGATCCCCCCATAGTGCTGTCATCTGAGCCCCATCTCTCAGGCCCTATCCCGATTTCTGTCTTAAAACTGGGGCAGGATTTAACTTGATCTCCAGCCCCCCACCCCCATTCTACTCTCCTCCTGCTCCACGGACTCCCTTTCCTGCTGTGTGCCCCAGAAATGGAGCCACAGGGCGAGCTGGGGGCCTGAGGGCGGCTGTGCATGCCCAGGTGCAGGTTTGTGCTGGGCACAGGCTGGGGCAGGAGGGGGAGAAGGCGGCCCAGCCCCTGATCGCTGTGGGCGGATTCCATTGCTGGGAGGCCAAGAGAGGAGCGAAGAGGACCGCAGAGGCAGCAGGCAGAGCTGAGTGTCAGCGAGAGCAACGGAGAAAGGGGAAAGAGAACATGCATGCGGCAGCTAGAGATGGAGGAGCCGAATGGAGCGGTCGGGGGAGAGATCGGGACCAGTGTAACCAGCGGCCCTTGCCCCACCCCACACAGGCCCAGGGGTGGGAGTCCCCAGTGCTGTGCTCACTCATCCACCTCTTCCTGGGCTGGCCCCTCCATCCCTCAGGGCTCTACCCGCCCCTCCCCCCCCCGCCTGGCTGGAGCCCACCCTAATGGAAGCCAGAAGCCACCACAGCACTGACATCTGAACAATGGTGGGAGGCAGTGAGGGGGGACGGGGCGCCACCTCCAAGCAAGTGGGCAAGATGCCATGAGAGGCAACAGAGCCGCCCCCACCCACCCCTCTTGGACCACATCATGTCGGGGGAGGGGCTCTGATGCCAGGCTGGGGAGAGAGCTCCCAGAACAGCTGGGCCCACCCCGAAGAGGCTGGCCCCTGGGAGTACGTCCGGATACTCAAGCCTCTGGACTGTCCTTCTGAGAAGGACTGACAGGTTCATGGCCAAGCAGAAGTGACCAGTGTCCCCCCGACCCCCTTAGGGCCCCTGAAAACCTATTTTTTGTGACCTGGCAGGACCATGAGAGCCAAGGCAGCTTCCCTCTCCTGTTCTGCATCCCCCATCAATGCATGGGTCATGGGCCATGGGGTCATAGGTGAAACCGAGACCCTTCGCCAGGAGCAGGGAAAGCAAGACAGCTCTGCCCAGCCAGGACCAGTCTCGCTGTTTGCATCATCCCAACACTCACCGACTCACACAGGGGCCTCACAAGGCTCTGGCTCACGAGAACACGCCGTCTGCAAATAGCCGGGGTGCGACGGAGCTCGCTTTCCACCCAGGTAAGGAGCAGAGCCCACTCCCCTAGCTGGGCTGGTGCATCGCAGAGGGAGACAGAGGCAGGAGGAGAGGGGCAAGGTGCCCGTCGCCAGGGTGGGAGTCAGGGGGGCCTAAGGGAGAGTCCTGGCTCCCTCCCTCTGTGTGGTCCTGGGTCTCCTTGCCCACCCTGCTGGCTACCCCGGGAGGGGCCTGGCACCGAGCAGGCACTCAACAGCCACCATGTGTCGTCCTGGGGACTCACAGCGCTGTGCGGGTCGATCTTGGGGCGCTCCATGGCAATGGTGATGCAGTTGAGGAAGATGATGACGAGGACCACGTGGTCGAACATCTTGTGCGTGATGATCCGGTGACACAGGAGGCGGAACCTGCTCCAGGACAGAGGCCAAGGCTGAGCGGGAGGCAGGGCAGGGCAGCAGTGAGAGGCATCGTCCGAGGCCCCTCCCCCTCCTGGGCCCTCCCAGCCCGAGGCCCCTCTCTCACACACTCCCACGTCTGGGGACACTGCTCACATCTCTGGGATGACGGCACAGGATACTCTCCCGTGAGGAGAGGCTGGGGTACAGGTCAGGGGACCCCCTGCTTACCTTGACTGAGGAGGGAAGATGTAGGCAGACCAAGAGTCTCGCTCTCGGCAGCAGGCAGGGAGCCGGGCTCGGATCCACGCTCTCATCCGCTCCCCTTTGCTCTGGGGAGGATCACAGGGGTGAGAGCAGGGCCAGGCTTCCGAGTCCCCGACCCCTCGTTCTTTTGTAGCAGCTCCACGGCCCCCACTCCTTGCCTACCGTCCCCCAGCCGTGTTTCTTCCTGCATTCCTGAAACCACCTTCCCACCTCCCTCTAAGGCCCTTTTGTCCCCTGAGCATCCCTCATCCTTCATCTCCCCCCTCCTCCCTTGCCCAAGCTCTCCACCTTTTCCCATCTCTGCCTCCAGCTCAGCCCTCGCCTGCCATTCCTCCTTCCCTCCCTGCTGGGCTTGGAAGTGCATCAATTATCAAACGCTGTACCCATCACAGCTGTCTGTTCAAAGACACACCTGGGATGAGGGGACCCTGGCCTCTTCTCCTCACGTGATAACTGGGAGGTCCTGTGCCCCATCCCAGGGCTAAAGGTGGTGGCTGGGGACTGGGGGAGGGGGGTAATGGGTAAGGATGGGTGTGAAGTCGAGGCTGTGATGAGGTCCAGATGAAACAGGGGGACAGGAGAGGGCATCAGTTTGGCGAGATGAGTGATGGGTCTTTCTGAGTCACAGGGGGAGGACCATGAAAGATTCATACACATCTGTCCAAAACCATTCATATCCACCAAGGACCGCAGACACACAGCCCCGGGGGTGATGAGGATCTGGGGCTCAGCGAGGCCAGGAGAGGGAATAAAGGGGGTGTTTGAAGCTCAGCCTCCGGGGCCGGCACCCTGATATCCCTTGGGTGTGATGGTAAACTTCCTGAATGCCATAGAGCTGGGAGGGGCTGTCCACCCCTGCCCCAGGCCAGGCATAGCTCCTCTCACTCAAGGTCGGGGATGAGTGGGTGCAGTCACTGTGCCCACAGGGGCCTCACCAGGTTGCCCTCGTCATCGCCATCATCTCCATCCAGTGGGGGGTCGTCGGGGTGCAGGGCCCGGGCCAGGCGCCCCGAGGCCGACTTGCCATTGCAGCCCTGGTGCTCAGAGGCGGAGCTGCGGCCGCTGGCTGTGCGGTGCAGCCCGGGCACCTGCAGCGTGTCTGGCAGGTCAAAGGAGCTCTTCGCCTCCCGCTCCAGGGAGCCCCTGTGGCGACGGTCGCTGCCTGCTGGGCTGGCCCGCTCCTCCTCTGAGCTCTCCTCTTCGTCCTGGCTCTCCTGGCCCTCGCCCGACAACAGGGACCTCCGCTCCCCACTCGGGCTCCTCCGCTTCAGGCTGGGGGCCCGGCCCAGGCTGTTGCGGCTGGAGCGCCTGCTGGCCCAGCTGCTTGCTGCGCTCCAGGGGCTGTGCGGAGAGCTCCGGGCACTCGGCTGGGGATGAGCAGAGGAGAGGGTGGCCTCAGCCAGAGTCACGTGGCCCTGCATCCCCCCCAGACACCCCATCTCCTGTGAGCCTCCTGGCATCACACCAGGTGCGGAGGCAGGATGGGCAGGAGCCTGGTGTCGGATGCCTGGATCCAGGTCCAGGCTTATTCCAACCGGCTGTGTGACCGTGGCCAAGTTACTGACCCTCTCTGTACCTCAGCTCCTCACCTGTAAACTAGATGGGACACGGGCACCTATTCCACATTCAGTTGGTGAGAGAAGCCTGATACCAGCTGGTGGCAGTACAAAGCACTGGTCAGAGCGTCGGCCCTGACACCGGCCTCCTGGACTAACATGCTGGTTCCATCACCTACTGGCTTCGGAGCTTCCCACAAATCACTTGGGCAACCTGAGATGCAGGTCCCCAAATAGGGAGAGTAACAGCACCTACTTTATAAGGTTGCTATGAGGGTTCAACGTGTCTAGGACACTATGAGCAGCATCTGGAATCAGTGACCAGCTGGGGGCTGCTATTACGATAAGGTATTAAGGAGGTACCACCACACACACACACACACACACACACACACACACACACACACACAGTTTACAAGGAGGCTCAGAGGTTGAGCCTCACTCAGTTCAGGAACAGAAGCAGCAGGATTTGAACCCAAGGCCATGGCTCCACCACATGCCTGCATTACCAGCCCTGATCGACCTCCCGGGGCTCGTCCACCCATGGCTCGGGGGTATCTGCTCAGGCCTGCCCACCTCCATCCTCTCTCCCTTCCTGATGTCCTCACATCTCCCACCGTCGGGCATCCACAGGCACCCCTACCGGTGACTTCATCTCGTGGGCTGCCCCGGGCTCCGCCGACCCGCTGCTGCTGGTGCGGCGGGAGGCAGGGCCCAGCGCCTCAGCCAGGCCGGTGCTGGAGCTCTTGGGCAGCGACATGGGCGTGGCGGCCGTGTGGATGATGAGAGGGGGCAACAGGCTCCTCTGAAGCTCTGGGTGCTCTCCCAGGGACACCACTGCGGGGGAGAGATGGGGAGACCCTGAGTCCACTCAAAGCTGGGCCAGGGCCAGGGGCTGCCCCCACCCCCGCCCCCCGGGACAGATACTCACAGGCCAAGCGCTTCTTCCTGTCCCCGTCGCCATCCAGGCTGGGGGAGAAGAAATCAGGCTCTGACTCGGACTTGGTGGCATCTCCCTAGGGGAGGGGAGCAGCGGGCCGTTAGGGAGCTGGCCCAGCAGGGGTCAGTGGGCTGGACGGAGGTCTCCCTGTCTTCACACGCACACACTACATAGAGGCCACGGGGACCAGCAACCACGGCACGAGACATGCACTGGCATCAACCAGACCACCCAGGCTTGGGGCCCGGGGCTCCCCAGGGTCCCTAACACCTGTGCCTCCCACCAGCCACACCTCAGAGAAGGCCACTGTTAGCCCAGAGCCCGCAGCACAACCAGCCTGGCTGGGACTGGCTCCAAGAATGGCCGAGGGGAGAGAGGATAGCTGGGTGGGTGGTAGCATGGGCCAGGGGAAGTCGGGGATCTGAGTGGTCACTAGAGTCTCAGTTCCAAAGGCCACCTGCACCCCCTGCCTTCCCTCCGTGGCTGCCCTCCCCGAGCCTCAGCCCCGAGGACCCCAGAAGGAAATTGAAAGGCCCCAGACAGAGTGGCTCAGCCCAAGGACGCCACTTCGGTCCCCCTGCTTCTCCCTACACCCTACCCAAGCTCCCACCCCTCCCCTGGCCCCATTTTTTACCTCTCTCTCTGTCTCTGGGACAGTTTTTTCTTCCTTCTTAGCAGGTCAGTAGGTTCCCCAGTAATTACACACTTCTCCTTAAGAAGTTATTAAAAAATACTTGATTGCTACTTTTGATAAGGACATAAATATTGCGTAATTGGCATCTCAGGGGACCATTTTCATTAACTCCGTTTGCGTCCCTAACAGAGCTTTTAATTATCAAGTGGGATCTCCAGGGGGCTGCTCGGGATGTGCAGCTCTGTGGGTCCTGCGGGAACCCTGACTTTGCCCTGAATCCGGGTGCCGGTGCAGGGAACAGCAGGGCACAGGCTCAGCGCTGGGGCCAGAGGAGGAATATGTCCCCCCCAACACCTGCTGGACCTCCTGGGAGGGCGGGGGGCCAGAGACTGGGAAGTGGATTGAAAACTCTGGCACATTCTGGCAAGAGCCATCCCTATCCCCTCATCCTCCAAAGACATGTCCTGAGCTGAGGCAGCTAGTGGGGTCTCCAACAGGGGCTCAGGGCAAGGGGGGGGGGGCGAGAGAGACGGGGGAGCACGGTCTGGGCCCCGGATGGGACTCCACTGAGGCCCGGCGACTGGGACCCCCGGGGGCCCTCTGCGTCGGCACGCACACGCGGTGCACCACACACGTGCACACAGAGGATTCTAAGTCCCTTCCTTCTCCCTCCATCCTCCGGTCTGTCGTGGGCGGAACATGCCCTTTGCGGGTGGATGGGGGCAGAGGCAAGGAGGCTCCTCTCCTCCATGTCCTCAAGGGGGAAGGGACTTAAAATCGAAGCCAGCCTCACGACACCAATGACCACCACGGCGACCACAGGTTGCACAGGAGCTGAGCGTGAACACGAGCACAGAGACATGGAGGCGGAGTGGAGGGGGCACGGGGCACGGGGCGGGGCATGCCGACTCAGGATCGCGTACCTACCCCCTGGGAGTCGACAGGCAGCTGAATACAGCTTAACTGTCCACTCGCATCTTCCCGTTTGCTGATTTCCTACAGGGAGAGGGGGAGGCAGGGGACGGGCGCTGGTCACAGGCGTTCAGACTTTCAAACATCAGCAGTGTCCAAAGAGGAGGGAGAGAAGGAGCGATGCAAACCCGACAGCAGGGGACGGGAGACACGGGGGTGGGAGGAGAAAGGGGAGAGAGCGGCCTTCCAGAATTCAGCCACAGGCTCCAGGGCCAGACGAATCTGAAGGGTGAGGAAGGAGGCCACGAAGATGGGGACAAGGGCAGGAAAGGCGATCAAGCCCCCGGGTAGTTCTAACAGCAGCCACCATTTGCCGGGTGTGCCAGGCATCACGGCCGGCTTCACGAACACTAGCTTGCTTCCTCGCCAGGCGGGGAGCAGGTGCTGCCAGAGCAATCTTAGAGGAGGCACCCCAGGTCTGGAAAGACTGTGCCCGTCATACAGAGAGTCAGAGGTGCCTCGGGGCCTCGCACCTAAGACTCTAGCTCCCCCTTCCTGGCTGGGAGGCAGCAGGCTGGGGGAATGGGCAGGAGCGGGGTGGGGGTGGGGGGAGGAGGAGTGGGTGGAAGTCAGAGGCTGGGGAGGAGACCAGGTCAGGATTGAGAACAGGCCTCCTAACTCCCATCCCTTCTGCCTTCGTCCCTCCCCATCAGAACGGCTCCTGCTGCTCCAACGGGGATGGGATGTGACAAGGAACACTGGGATGACAGCTATGATGTTGTTTAATATCAATTAATGGCCTCACACAGGGCCTGCTGCCTGTTCATTTAATTAAGTGTGTGGATGATAAATATACAGGGGTTCAGGGCACTGCCCCCTGCAAGTCAGGAAATCTACAGCCAGCCGGCTCCGGCCCCTGGCGGCGCGGCAAGGCCAGCAGGGGACCACTCTCGAGGCTCCTGCTAATGACATCCAAAGAAATGAAGGCAGCCACTTCCTCCACGAGGTGGGCTGCCTCACATGCCACCACAGCGGCAAGAACCAGACTCCCCTGCCAGATTGTGGGGCTCCCAGAGCCACCGGGGCAGCCCCCTGAAACTCGGTACAGGAGGAGGCAGGCGTCTCTGGAGATATGCAGGCCACCGGCATCGAGCGCCCCCCCTGCACCCAGGTGCTGGCTCACGTGCAGGACAGCGAGCAGCTGGCCCAGCCCCTCTGCAGGCCCTCCACGGCCATGCCACTGCCCACCCCATGGGGCGGGTGTTGGCGCTGCAATCCTGTCTCCATTCCGTCCAGCCCCGAAGCAGCAGGCCCTGCTGGAGACCCTCCCAGGAGTCACTTGTCCTCTGAAGGTGGAGGAGGCTGTGGCCCCAGGTCCTGGCTGGCCCCTTAGGCTGAGGCAGGCCCACAGGCCACGAACAGGGCCAGAGTGACCAGGCCAGGCCCGAGGGCCAGGCTGCTCTCTTCCCACACACAGACGTAGCTGCTGCCTAGCAACCGGGCCGGCTCAGCGGCACTCGATTTAACAAGGTGTTCGCTGAAAAAGGCCGCGGTGGGAGGGGGCTGTCTGTGCTGGGCACCGCCAGGACTGCCCAGGTGGCTATTGGCCAGTTGAGGGAAGCAGAACAGGCTTGGGGTGCTTTCCAGTTCCCCCCACATAGTTCCACAGCAATTATTCTAGGGGAATCTTGGCTGTCAGGAGCTGTGGCCTGGGAGGGGCTGAAGGACCGTGTCCCCACTCTGCTCCTCCTCCCACAGGCTAAGAGCCGTGGCTGAGAATGGTGGGTCTCCATAGAGACCCTGGCTTTTGTGGGAGCATGGTGGCACCCCTTCACCCTTCACACCCCAGGGAACTACCCAGTCAGTGTCTGCTGCAGGGAGAGCACCAATGTCTCTCCCTCCTGCAAGAGGCCCGCCGTCACCAAGGCAGGGCTCCACCAGCGGCCCTCACCACCCAGCAGGAGGAGAGGCGATAATGGGGAGCTACAGAGTTACAGGGGGCGCCGGAGAAGGCCAGTGAGGGACAGATGCCCCTGCACCCCACCAGCCTGGCCCTCGGGGAGCAGCCCTCCCTCGCAAAGCTGGGAAAAAGGCGGAAAATAGATTTTTGTTTTTCCACCGTGTGCCGGGTATTTATAGACCAGGCCGCAGCGGGAGTTTCCATCCGGGTCACCCACAGAGAACTGGACCGAGCGCTCCTCCACACCTAACCTGGAGCGTTTCTAGGTTGGGTCAACCTCCCCGGGTGCACGGCACCGGGCTGGGCCTGGGGCGGGCAGAGGGGCAGGGCGGAGGGAGAGGAGGAGGGTGCAGCCTTTCGGGCAGAGGCTGTGCCCCGGCCCGGCACGGGCGGGATCAATGTAAGTCAATATTAATTGATGACGCTGCCTGTGATGGAGGTGATGGAGCCGGGGCTGGAAATAGGACGCTCATCTCTGCCATCCCCGCAGCTAATTGGGCTCATTTCTCACCCTGGGCAGCTCGGCCCTGCCCGGGCCCTGGTGGCATCTTCATCATCTCAGCCAGAGCTCAGATGACTTGCACACAAGCTTCCCCCCACCCCTCAGCTCAGATGGGTCCTCCCAGATGTCCCCGAGAACACCTATACTCAGGGATCCAGACGCCCTGTGTGCTGACACTTGTCTAGCTTTCTGAGGAAGGGTTTAGCCGACTTTGAAGGGGAAGCCCACTGGGCAGCTAACCTGGGGTCCCAAAGACACCCCCTCACATGCACCCTATTTCCTGAGTGCCAAGAGGCTTCCTGAGACCTGGCGCCTCCCACCCTTAGTCGCCCCCACCTAATCTGAAGGGTGCTTCCTGCAGAACCTGCCAGGCCCCCAAAGGTCAGGCTGGGCAGCTGATTCCTCCTGGAAATGGACCGTTGCGGGCAGGGGGTTACCTCCGCCTGGAAGCCCTCCACCAGAATGGCGACAAGCAGGTTAAAGAGCACGTAGTTGCCAAAGGTCATGAGGGCAATGAAGTAAAGGGCAGCCCAGGACGACGTGGAGGCCATTCCGTTGTAGAGCACCTTGTTCCAGTCCTCCTGGGTCAGGATCTGTGGGCAGAGGGCGGGAGTCAGGGCATTGGCCAGGGTCACTTCACCACCACTGCCCACCCTGTCCTGCTGCCCTCGCACCTGAAAGACGGTGACTATGGCCCAGAGCAGGGAGTCAAAATTCTTCCGGTCCGGCAGCGTGTCCCCGTCCCGCTCGGATGCAAATTTGCAGCCGAAGAGGTGCATGCCCAGGATGCTGCAGACACAGGAGCCACGGGATGGGCTCAGCCCCAGCAGCCCCGCCCCCGAGGCCCCTCCCCACGGGCACCCGCCCTCACCTGAAGATGAAGATGAAGAGCATGAGCAGCATGCAGAAGGTGGCCACGTTGTCCATGGTCTTCATGAGCACCACGAGCTGCCGCTGCAGCGCCGGCAGGAAGCGCACCAGCTTCAGCACCCGCATCAGGCGGAAGGTCCGCAGCACCGACAGGCCGCCCCCCTGCTGGCCCACGATCTCCCACACACTGCAAGGGGGTGGGGGCGGGGAGCCTGAGCCTGGTGGGCATGCCCACCCCCCGCCTGCCCCTCCCTTTACGAAGGGCCAGCAGCACCCGGGGGCCTGGATTGGCTAGCACAGCCCTCGGGCCTCCGAGATGTCAAGGATCTGGGGGACAGCTCCTGCCCTCTCCACCCTCCCGGCCAGGCCAAAGATCGCACAGCCTGGCAGTGGACAGCCCTCTCCCTCAATCGGCCAATGCAACAGCATCCAGTTATGGAATGTTCGCTTTGTTCTCTTCAAATGAAATCTAAAGCCAATTCCAAAAAGCCATAAAGCAGTTCTCCTGGCTCCTGGCTGGAGGGGATGGAGCACTTTCCCAAGGTGTTGGAAACCCTAAAGCAAGTGGTCGGCGTCTGAGATGGTTTCCAAGCACTTTGCAAGCAGGGATGGCTGGCCGGGCCTCAGACTCCCTCCAACTCCTTGCCAAGGCCAACTCCCCAGTCCTCACCCCCCCGGGCCTGCGTGGGGGTGAGGACAAGAAGTAGAAGTGGGGAGAGGAGACCGCAGAGGGGCTTGGCCAAAGGAGATGTGAGGCCAAGACCCTCCTGAGCAGGGTAGGACCGAGGGACAGGGTGGAGTGGAGCAGGGGGGGGCACAGCGAGTCCCCACCCGGGGGCGCGGCAGGGCCTGTGGGTCAGTGGGACCCCTGGAAGAGGCTGCGTGGCTCCTCGCCCCAAGCCGCCCCACGGACGCTCTTCAGGCGAGAGGCAGTGCAGGGGCGGTCGTACCTGATGACAACAATGACGCCGTCGAAGATGTTGTAGGGGTTCTTGATGTAGCCAAAGGGACCGTACACGAGCAGCTTCAGGAGCATCTCCAGGGCGAAGAGGCTGGTGAAGACGATGTTGCTGATTTCCAGGGCGTTGGTGAGCTCCTCGGGCTGCAGGGCAGGGCGGGCGTGAAGCAGCCGTGGCTTGTCCCTGAGCCCCTCACCCCAGTCTCCCCAAACATGGGACCACAGGGAGAGGAGGAGCAGGAACAGAAAGCCAGGGGTTCTGGATGCTCAGGCTTATGGGGAACACCCTCCCCCAAAGGGTCCCCCCACCATTCCCAGCTCTGGGTCTCAGATCCTGGGGCCTGCCCTGTGGGCTCTGCCCACCTCCTGCTGGCAGCTCTGAGACCCATCGGTCCTGTGCTGCCAGGTCAGCCCAGCGAGCCCAGGCCAGTGGCGCAATGATGCTGGCCCGTGCCACGAGATGACTGCCAAGGCCTCACACGCATACCAGTCACACAGCCACCGGCAAAGGCACACGTGCTCCACAGTTACTCTGTGGACTTGGCAGCCTCCTCTCGGACAACTACTGGCTACCCTGCTTCCTTCCAGACAACGCACCAACAAACGTCACGCACAAACACGCATACGCACACCAACGTGCTGATACACAGAAGGGAACCCCCAAGAAGGGCTGTCACAGAGAAGGAGGCTCCGGAAGCTGCTACCGGAGACTAGGACACCTCGGTTCCTTCTGTCCACTCACTGTGTGACCTTCAGGAATGAGGACCAAGGACACACCTCAAAGAGGTGATCAGAACTAAGGACAAACCATCTCATCTGCTTCTCCAGCTCACTAGTCACCGCCCTCCCTTCCTCCTCTTTTCAATATTAAGTGCTGACGGCATGCCTAGAACTGCACCGGGTACGAAAGGGGCTGCACAAACATGCCAGCCATGCCCTCTGCTCCCGGGAGCTCAGCAGCTGGCTGGAAGCAAGGTGTACGCACACAGCACAGCTGAATGACCGCCAGAGGCCTGGGATGCTTCCGTGACAAACTACATGACCCAGACAGTAAATCCGGGAGCTCGGGGACAGAAGGTGAGAGAAGGACACGCCAGGAAAGCCTTCGTCAGCAGCCAGCATTTGACATGAACTCTGAACGGTGAGTGGGGTCTCTCCAAGCAGAGGGGAGGGAAGGCACCACAGGTCCAGCACAAGAAACGAGCCCTGTGCCTGGCCGGTGTGGCTCAGTGGTTGAGCATCAACCTATGAACCAGGAGGTCACGGTTCAATTCCCAGTCAGGGCGCATGCCTAGGTTGTGGGCTCGATCCCCCATGGGAGGCGTGCAGGAGGCAGCCAATCAATGATTTTCTCTCATCATTGATGTTTCTGTCTTTCTCTCTTTCTCCCTTCCTCTCTGAAATCAATTAAAAAAATTTTAAAAAAAAAAAAAGAGAGAGAGAAAGGGAGGGGTGTGGCTGAGCTGGAGGTCCGGGTGGAGATGATTGGTTCAGCAGAGCCCACTGCCCATCGGGTGCAGTGTTTGACCATTCAAAAGCCCAAGCTCCATGGCAGCCACTCAAGGATAATAAATAAATAAGCAGGTGAAGCTCCTAGTCCTTCAGACACCTCACCCTGTTAACCTGGCTGCCTCATCTGGCCGGCTGTCCAGGTAGGTCACCCAAGCCTGGAGCCAAGCCCTGGACGCCACCAAATGGATCCTACCGGCCCCAATCCGTGTGACCAACCTGGGTGGAAGTGGGGAGAATTGGGAGGAAAGGCCTCTGACTGCCAGGTGAGGCGCGTCTGGAGGTCCGTGGCTGCTCAGGAAGAGAGAAGCTCTCAACTGGGCATGCGTCCTCTCCAAAGGCTGGCCTGGGGGGCAGAGCCAGGGTCAGCAGGCAGGGCCGAGAGCCAGCTGCCCAGAGAGTGAGTGGCTGTCACAGGGGCCGGTGTGGCACGGAGCCCGTGGCTCCGGTAGATCTGAATAGAGTCTTTTCTCCCCAGACGGCGAGTGGGGGCAGGAGAGGGCACCGCCACCTGACCTAGTGAACAGGGTCACAGAGAGACAGGACCTTTGTCCACTGCCTGTGAGCGTGGAGCAGGTGGTGGGGAGGGGCTTATGTCAGGACAGAGAAAGCCCAGGGCGCAGAGCCCTCCTGAGAGAGTGGATCCCCCACTCTGTGCTCCCAAGTCCAGTCTCCCCAGAAGCTGTGATCGGCGAGCCTGCCTCCCTGTCACTCTGCCACCTGCCCAGTTGTTCGCTCTGGGATCGGATAAAGAAGGGGCACATAGACCACACAGGTGCGATATTTTGCGGGTCCCCCGGCTCGTGCCTCTTACCTCATGCCATCCACACAACAGCGGTCACACCGGGGGTTTATAGATGAACAAAAGAAGTCAAGAAGATGGTGAATGACAGGTTCAAAGTCACAGGGCGGGGAGAACGAGGGAGGGCGCCCAACCCACCTCACTCTGACTCCAATAAATACCAAGCAGGACCAAACCCAACATGGTGACAGCAACAGGCCTGTGAATCAGATACCCGGATGGACTGAATATACTATGTACCTTCTAATGAACATAAAATTACATTTCACATGAACATAGATGTATGAATGAAGAACAAGTTGAGCCCAGGCAGGGTGGCTCAGTGGTTGAACGTCAACCTATGAACCAGGAGGTCACAGTTGGATTCCCCATCAGGGCACATGCGGGCTGGGTCCCAGTGTGGGGCGTGCAGGAGGCAGCCGATCAATGATTCTCTCTCATCACTGATGTTTCTCTCTCTCTCTCCCTTCCTCTCTGAAATCAATAGAAATATGTCTTAAAAAAAGAACAAGTTGACTTGAAAACGTAACTGAAATACACTATGTACATAGAGCAAATACATTATACCTCAACAATAAAAATGAATACAACTTTTTTAAGTAGCTGGACGCCCTGTAGTCTTTGTTATCGTGAATTTACTCCGTCAGTGAGCCCTAAAAGTACAACTACTACCAGGCGTGTGGAGGGAGGATGTTTTCATCATGTCCTAACGTTATCCCTGGGGTAGAGACAGTCTGTACCCGGTGTTCATTGGCACACACATGCTCACACACGCTCACAAACCAACTGAGAGCCTCATCAGAAGGATGGTGCAGGGCTCCCCCAAGGCCTACGTGATGGATCCTTATCGGGGTGCGAAGTGGGGAGGCGGGGAGGCAGAAAAGCCTGAAGCCTCCGCCTCATCCCTCCAGGCAGCTCAGGGACTGGAGAAGCAGGTGGGAGGGCCGGGCCCTCTCCCTCAGCCCGTCCTCTCTCCCCTCCACACACTCACTGGGCGCACATAGGGGCAAGGCCTATCCTCTCCCAGGACCCTGGGACCCCCCGTGATCCATGGGAAAAAGCCCTCCTCCCCCAGACATCCAGGTCTGTCCAAGTTACTAAATCGGAGGCTGGGAACATTCTGCAAATGCAGGACGAGGGCGCAGAGACACAATCTTAGCAACAGAGTTGCCCCAGGGACCAGAGCCGTGATCCCGGGCCTCCGCAGCAGCGAAGGGGTGGGGAGGGAGCCAACTTCTGCTAGCACCCTCGCCAGGCCCGCAGGGCTGGTGCCTTCCTCCCGGAAGGTCACTTCCTCCCTGCCTCCTCCACAGCCTGCTCCCAAGGTGTGGTCATTGAAAGGAGGTGGCTTGGGTGCAGGGCTAGGTCCGGCCGAGCGTTTCTCTGCATCTGTCCACGCGGCCCCCAGCCCCCCTAGAGCCCATGTCCTAATGTCATCCCTGGGGCAGATGCGCGCAAGCCCGTCAGGCCCTCCCCCAGGGCCAGGACATCCTTTCTCGGGTCTAGACTGCATCCTCCCTCTGGTGCACAGAGGTCAAGGCCCAGGAAGCGCTTTGGTGAGCTGAGGCCAGGCAGCCCGAGCTCCTCCCGCCCAGAGGTCCCAGGTCTTCTCAGGGCTGATGCTAACTGTACATCCCCCACCTCCCAGGTCCCAACACCTTCCCTCCCTCAGCCTGTCACCTGAGAGCAACTGCGGCCCCAGGTAAGCTGTACATACTTCCCAGCACCAGGTCTCCCCTGACACCCACAGCAGCTCCATCAACGAACCCTGACCGTGCCCACAGCGTGCACGACACTGGTGATGCGAGGTGGGATCGAACCTGAACACAGGAGGCCTGCCGACTCTGGGACTTTCCAGCTGTGTGACCTGGGGCGAGTCCCTTAACCTCTCTGATCCCTAGTGGCCTCTTCTGTGAAAGAGGGTAACACCACCTCGCGGGGAGGCTGCCTTGCAGAACACAGATCAAGCCTGTGAGCACATCCAGCCGAGAGCCACGCTCAAGCGGCCCCGTGGGCACTGCCAGTGGAAGCGGCCTCACATGGGGCAGGACAGAGTGCCTGCAGGGCTGTCACTCAGCATCAGGAGCACCAGGAGCACCAGGAGCTCCAACCCCACGAGGTCAGTGGGCCAGTGGGAAGGAGCAGGCGGGAGGGGAGCGCCCAATGAGGACATGCCCAGCTGGGCGCAGTGTGAGCCAAGGTGCAGAGGAGGGAAGGGCCAGGCATACCGGGGACCAAGAGTTAAGTGGTCTGCCTGGGTCGGAGCGGGGAGGGGCCGGTGGGGGACAAGGCTGCAGGGTCAGCAGGGCCAGGCCCAATGACTCCACGCCACAGGTTGGACTTGCCTCTGGGCACATGCTGCCATTGAGGCTGCGGGGGATGGGGGGGAGGGTTGGGGGAGGGAGGCGATGTGCAAAGCGGTGTATTAAGAAGATTAATCTGGCTGCAGTGGTGGCAGCGTGCGGATGGCTCAGAGAGCTGGAGAGACAGACCAATTAGGGGAGACTGCAGAGGTCCAGGCAGGAGGCCTGAGAGCAGGCTCGGCAGACAGTGACATGCCTGCTGCAGAGAAGGTTCCAGAGGGTGGACCAGCCAGGTGAGAGCGGAGAGGGGGCCTGCATGAGTCACCCCAGCACTGCCCAAGTGCCACTCCCTCCCCAGCTCCCCGGCTCCCTGCTCCACTGACCCTGAAATCTCTGCTCCCCAGTTCTGACTCCCCAGCTCACCTCACCTCTGCTTTTGACAGCCGGCCTGCTGCTCCCACACACCCAGGAGAGGTGCTGCAGGGGCCCACAGTGAGGGGGTAGGGGCCACTGGGTCGGTGTGACCTCCT